TATAAGAACAATACTTCATTTTACAATCCTGTCGCTCTTATAATGATATAGTTCTAACGCAGTCAGGTAAGGACATTGATGTCTTTGACAATAATGTAAATAAGCTACGTACTCAACTATTCCACTACTTCAAGTCAACTCCACATTAATTATTTATCGTCATAATAAACTTTTACTATATTGTCGTAAAATTTGTTAAATTTATAAATTGTTTTTTTTGAGTAAAATATAATACATAAATATGTTTACGGATAATTCATGTTGCAACTGTATGTACGCGTTTTTGGTTTGTATTCCAGGTCAAAACTTTGTGTATAATAGGTATTTATGTTACGTAAAATTGAATGTAAACTGTTGTGTACATCCAATAAAAAAAAATAGTTCTCTGACTTGTGATAACAATAATCATTTATTGCATAATAAATTAAGAAATTAAAAATGTTCCTATAAATAGTAGTCTAAACTTTCATATGCATAATAAGTTAGTGTGACGGTAATCGCAAAAAAGTGATAATGTATTTACGAATCTGTAACGTAAAACATAGATTAGGTGAATCATAATATGCCGTATGCTTTTATAATTGTAAATAATGGTGCCTTTGGAAGTGACTAGTGTCTAAGATACAGGCTCGGCCTAGTTTAGACGCTAGTGTATAAAATTGTTTAGATAAGTTATAACTCATACCATTTGTTCAAATGTCTTAAAGATAAATAATGTAATCCTTACTTTGTGTCAATAAAAATTATTATTATTGTGGGTTATCCATTAACGCTCCTTTTAGGGTTTTAAGATGTGGCATCGGCTGATCGCAAGATGCCGCTCTTTTGTTTAAATTGTGAGGTGGCGACGTACTATCGCTGTCGTATCCAAAATTACGGCTTTTTGAATTTTGTTCCTCACCCTCACTGAAATGCCCATCTTAGCTAAATTGTCAGTAAGGGATTTAGGAACAACTCCCGTGGTAGAGAGAAGCAGCGGGACGATAAGTACCTGCTGCTGTCGCCTTAACTGTCGGACTTCTTCAGTTAACCGCTGGTACTTAGTCAATTTTTCAGTGCTGTACTTCTGCACATTATGCGAGTTTGGAATGCCAATATCCAACAACCACGTCCGCTTCTCCTCCTTTTCTACTAATATTATGTCCGGTCGATTATGCTCAACGGTCCGGTCAGTTAAAACTGACCTATCCCAATAAAGTTGGGCAGAATCATTCTCGAGTACCGGGGATGGATTGTATTTCCAGTAGGGTTCTGTCTCCTTAAGGAGACCGTATTTTACTGCCAGCTCTTGGTGCACAATTTTTGCCACGTTGTCATGGCGCTGGGTGTACTTGGTTCCAGCAAGAGCCTGGCAGCCGCCAGTTATGTGCTGGATGGTCTCTGGCTTTTGATGACACCGTCGGCACTGGTATCTTCGATACCTGTCTTGACAATGTACTTAAGATAATTTTTCGTACGCACTACCTGATCCTGAATCGCCACCATGAATCCCTCAGTTTCAGCAAAGATCTCACCATGTATGAGCCAGTTGTTCGACGCTTCTTATAATATTATTATTATTATTTATTTTTATCACATATATTATCACAAAACTATAATATTATAAATATAAATACAATCTATATAAATAATATTATTATTTCGGTTATTATCCACCGCGGCGAGGAATTCTAAGCCATCGGTGAAGTTAGGCATCCAAAGATAGGAACCTTCTTACTATTCGAGCCGTATTTAATAAGGCCGATTTTTGAATTAATGCCTTCAGCCATTTGCCCAAACCTAACTTGGACAGATAATCGTCCATATTTTTACCAATAAGCCCATTGACTGAAACAACTATTGGTACAATAATAGTAGAATCAACGTCCCACATAGTGACAATCTTATGAGCCAGGTCGATATATTTAATTTTTTTATCATTCCCTGCTTTTACGAGATTCTCGTCATGAGGAACACTGATATCCACTATTATTGCCTTGCGTCTAGTTCTGTTTATCACCACAATATCAGGTTTATTTGCCACTATAAACCTGTCTGTGACAATTGACCGATCCCAGTACAGTGTGACACTCCTATTTTCAAGGACTGGCTTTGGTTCATAATTATAATATGGAATGTATCTCCGGTAGTTGTTCGTTTTAATTACTTCATCTTGTATTGCATTATATATTATTATTATTATTATTATTGGGGTATCTATATAATTTTCGCACCTGGTTAGGTTCTATAAATATATAATTATAAATTAAAATGAAAAGATAAACGTACAAAAATAACAATAAAATAAAATATATACAAAAACTACATAAATAAATAAGATCCAACCAGATGGAGGCCCTCGGCAGGGGAGACCAAACGGCCAAGGGTTAGGGGGAAAGGGAAAGAAACCGGCGGACGATGCGGGCGGTATCGAGGAGCACCGCCTTCTGCATTTGAGCCCGGAGCGGTCCGTCACGGAGTCCCAGTCGCCTCAGATGACCCGAGAGGCTGACTGGGATTAGCCCATTCGCAGAGACGACTACAGGAATAATTTCGGTCGACACACCACCCCACATGTCAGTTCACCTCGTGAGCCAGGTCCAGATATTTTGTTTGTTTATCTGTTTCGGCTTTCACGAGGTTCTCGTCATACGGAATGGTAATGTCGATCAAAAATATCCTTGACTGTGCCCGGTCCATCAGCACAATATCAGGCTTATTCGCAAGAATAGTCCTGTCTGTGATGATGGCCCGGTCCCAGTAGAGCCTGGCGCGGTCATTTTCGAGCACGGCTTCCGGCAAGTACTTGTAATACGGCAATTTGCAAAGTGCCTGTGCAAGTACTCAGAGTTAGAAAGCGCCGAACAACCAGAGATGACATGCCTAAGTGACTCCCCGGGATGGCGACAAGCTCGACAGACGTCAACGGTGCCATCCTTTAGGATGTATCTCCGATAGTCGTTGGTCTTAATAATCTGATCCTGTATTGCACAGACAAAACCCTCGGTTTCCCCGAAGAGGTCACCGAAACGTAGCCAGTTGAGGGAGGCGGCTGTATCTACGTGAGGCTCATGTAGAGCCCTGTAGTACCTCCCATGGAGCTCCTTCTCCTTCCATACGGTCTCCCGGTCGGAAATGCTCTGTACTGCCGGGTTTTGCCATTGCTCGTTGGCTAAGGATAGAGGGGTAAGTCCTTTATCACTAGAAATGACGTCATTATAGAATGGATCATCCGATCTCGTCAGGAAGTAATGACGGAGGCTGCACACTTTTTGGATTATGCATGGTAAGCGCGCTCAGGAAGCCACGCCCACCATGCTTTCGCGGCAAGTACAGACTCATTACCGACGATCTCGGATGATGCATCCTATGGGACGTCATTGTAGTGCGGACTTTTCTATCCAGGGCGTTAAGTTCAGTCTGACTCCACCTGAGTATGCCAAAGGTATATATGAGGACAGGCATGACCCAACCGTTATATGCATGGGTCTTATTCACACTGAACAAAAGGCTGTTAAGCACTTTGGTCAAGCGTGCATAAAACACGTCGCAAACTGACTGTTTCATACCAGCCTCATCGATACCGATGTTCTGTGACATACCCAGGTATCGGTATGTTTCAGCCTCGGAAAGGGCCCTTAAGTTGACGGGCATAGATAAGTCTATGCCCTCAGAGTTAGCAACCCTTTCCCTTTCAACATGGAGGACCGCACACTTATCCGTCCCCAGCTCCATTCCAATAGAATTGCTAAATTCACAAGTGATGTTTAGCAATTCCATAAGATGGGAGCGACTGGAGGCGAATAGTTTGAGGTCATCCATAAAGAAAAGGTGGGTCACTTTTGTACCTCCCTTCCGAAGCTGAAATCCCCTCCCGGAGCCCTCCAGTAAAGTACTGAGAGGGTTCAAAGAGAGGCAGAAACAGATTGGACTCAGACAGTTGCCCTGGAAATACCCCTTCTTATCCTTATGCGGCTTTCCGCAGCCGTCGTCCGCTCGCCCAGATGACAGAAGATCGTACTCCACTGCCCCATACACTGCTCGAGGAAGTCTCGAACTGTACAGTCAATCTTGTACAGCTCGAGGACCCTCTTTAGCCATGTATGGGGCACCGAGTCAAATGCCTTTCTGTAATCTATCCAAGCGGCGGAGAAGTTCCGACGGTTGCGTTTCACCACTTTGCCAATGACCGCGTCAATGAGGAGTGGTTCCTTGGTTCCACGACCGCCACCCCGACATCCATTTTGAGCGCGCGACATCACCTGATTTGAGTCCAGGTGACGAGCGATTCTCGCGCTCAAAATGGATGTTAGTATCTTGTATATAGACGGTAGACACGTGATGGGGCGGTATTTGCTCGGGTCTGTGGAACCCTGATCTTTAGGAACCAAATGAGTGATCCCAGTAGTGAAGAGGCTTGGGAGCGATTTCTGGTTGAGAGCCTCTTGAAACTGTCGGGCGAGCACAGCGTGACACACCATGAACCCCTTCAGCCAGTAGTGATGCAGCCCGTCAAGCCCCGGACTTTTCCAGTTCGGGGCCCTACGGACCGCCTCAGCTTCGTCATCCGGCGTTATGATGACGGGGTCCATGGGCGTAATACCCGCACACTGACTCGCCACAACTTCTGTCCAAGGGCCCTTGTTGTGGTATACGGGCTCTGACCACAGGCTGCGCCAGAATGTGACCGTGTCGGCCTGATTTGGTGCTGGGCCCGTTTCAATTACTATTGGTCGCTCCAATGATTTGTAGAGCCTCTTCTGATCACTCTGGAAGAGACGATTCTGGTTGAACCGTGTCGACCTCACGGTATATCGCCGAATCCGCTTTCCCCAAGCAGCGATTCTTTGCGCGTTATATCCGGCTGGGACAAACTAACATTTGTCCCAGCAAACGCCATCCTGACGGTGCGCACAATCCTTGGCCTGGTATTGCCTGACCTGAAGCATATCGGTCTGCCGATGAGGGCCCTAGCCCTTGCGATACGTTCTTCAATTCTTATTCTCCAGGCTGGGATAGCACTACTTTGTCCAGTAGCGCGTCCAGCCGTGGAAAGTTTGGCGCCTATAATACGGCAGACTGCCAGTGCGGCGCCAAAAAAGAATTGAGTCCGTCTCGCAAAGGTCCCGGCTGGCTTCCAAGTAGGTAACCAGCATTAGGTTCAGAGCCCTCACGACAGCCCGATTCCGCTTGCTTAGGGCTAAGCGGGGAAGTCGCGGTCTATTTTCGAGAGGCGTACTGCGCGTTTCCACAATCGCCTCCTCCAATGTACTCCTCATTTGCTCTAGTTCCAGTTCCTGGGCGACTGTTCCGTCATCGTTTGAATCAACCACAATTGGCGTATTCACGGCGGCATCCACATTTGCCGTTTGCTCAGCAAGTTGTGGCGCCGCATCTTCAGCCGCAGCATTTTCACACGATGAAGAAACAGCCTCACGTCGTTGCCGTTCGAGTTCGGTGACATCAAATGTATTTGAGCGCAGGATATACCGAACTCGGTCTGCCAGGTTTTGCTCGGTGACGGTTACAGATGGCTCCAGCTCAGCAAAAAGTCGATGCATCCTTGCCCGATACGCAAAACCTCCAGTTTCTCCCTCTTTCGCCCTAAAATACGCCCGCAATGCGTTGCTGTTCATCTGGGTTGTCCAACGCATGCGGCGTGCTCCACCAGTGGCGGGTGCTGATTGCTGGGCCCGCGATGACCCTGCCGACACCAAACCAGCTGGTTGGGATGATGGATGCGAGGGGCTGCTGGGTGGTCGTGCAGCACCTCACGCTCGGCTGGCGGTTCGCATGCTGTCGCGTCCAGCGCCAGCTTCAGACGCGCCCTGGCAACCTCCAGGCAGAGGCCCTTGCGCGTTCTTCCTTATTCCATCATCCATAGTGGTGGGCGTCATTTAGCGGGAGACGCCCAGACCCGGCGCCGTAACATGGTGAGGCCATGTGCACAAGCGGGCCTTTGCACTTTCAATTTTTGCCGAGGCATGGCACTAACACCTCACGGCAAGGTGCTGACTGACTGCGCTGACGTACCGGATTTGTCACATAACCGTTAGGTCAGCGGGCCATGGGGTCGTCACTTCCCTACGCCTTATTATTTTATTATTATTATTATTTGGGGTATCTATATAGTTTTCTCATCTGGTTGGGTTATATAAATATATAATTAATTATTATTGTGGGGTATCTATATAGTTTTCTCATCTGGTTGGGTTCTATAAATATATAATTATAAATGAGAATGAAAAGATAAATATACATAAATATCAATAACATAAAATAAATATAAAAATACTTAAATAAATAAAAGCCCAACCAGATGGAGGCCCTCGGCAGGGGAGACCAAACGGCCGAGGGTTAGGGGGAAAGGGAAAGAAACCGGCGGACGATGCGGGCGGTATCGAGGAGCACCGCCTTCTGCATTTGAGCCCGGAGCGGTCCGCCATGTAGTCCCAGTCGCCTCAGATGACCCGAGAGGCTGACTGGGATTAGCCCGTTTGCAGAGACGACTACAGGAATAATTTCGGTCGGCAGACCACCCCACATGTCGGTCACCTCGTGAGCCAGGTCCAGATATTTTGTTTGCTTGTCTGTTTTGGCTTTCACGAGGTTCTCGTCATACGGAATGGTAATGTCGACCAAAAATATCCTTGACTGTACCCGGTCCATCAGTGATGATGGCCCGGTCCCAGTAGAGCCTGGCGCGGTTATTTTCGAGCACGGCTTCCGGCAAGTACTTGTAATACGGCAATTTGCAAAGTGCCTGTGCAAGTACTCAGAGTTAGAAAGCGCCGAACAACCGGAGATGACATGCCTAAGTGATTCACCGGGATGGCGACAAGCTCGACAGACGTCGACGGTGCCATCCTTTAGGATGTATCTCCGTTAGTTGTTGGTCTTAATAACCTGATCCTGTATTCCATAGACAAAACCCTCGGTTTCCCCGAAGAGGTCACCGAAACGTAGCCAGTTGAGGGAGGCGACTGTATCTACGAAGGGCTCATGAAGAGCCCTGTTTTACCTCCCGTGGAGCTCCTTCTCCTTCCATACGGTCTCCCGGTCGGAAATGCTAAGCACTGCTGGGTCCTGCCATTGCTCGTGGGCTAAGGATAGAGAGGTAAGCCCTTTATCACTAGAAATGACGTCATTATAGAATGGATCATCCGATCTCGCCAGGAAGTAATCACGGAGGCTGCACACTTCGCGATTATGCATGGTGAGCGCGCTCAGGAAGCCACGCCCACCATGCTTTCGCGGCAAGTACAGCCTCATTACTGACGATCTCGGATGATGCATCCTATGGGACGTCATGGTAGTGCGGACTTTTCTATCCAGGGCGTTAAGTTCGGTCTGAGTCCACTGAGTATGCCAAAGGTATATATGAGGACAGGCATGACTCAACCGTTATATGCGTGTGTCTTATTCACACCGAACAAAAGGCTGTTAAGCACTTTGGTCAAGCGTGCATAAAACACGTCGCAAACTGACTGTTTCATACCAGCCTCATCGATACCGATATTCTGTGACATACCCAGGTATCGGTATGTTTCAGCCTCGGAAAGGGTCTTTAAGTTGACGGGCATAGATAAGTCTATGCCCTCAGAGTTAGCAACCCTTCTCCTTTCAACATGAAGGACCGCACACTTATCCGTCCCCATCTTCATTCCAATGTAATTGCTAAATTCACAAGTGATGTTTAGCAATTCCATGAGATGGTAGCGACTGGAGGCGAATAACTTGAGGTCATCCATATAGAAAAGTTGGATCACTTTTGTCTTGTCTTGTCACACTTCCTCCTTTCCGTAGCTGAAATCCTCACCCGGAGCCCTCCAGTAAGGTACTGAGAGGGTTCAGAGAGAGGCAGAACCAGATTGGACTCAGACAATCGCCCTTTTATTATTATTATTATCACTATTATTATTGTGAAAAGTCAGAATGTGTCAAAGAAGGCACGTATGGCAATTCACACGCTGTATTAGTCCCTACTTTAACATATGGTAGTGAAAGTTGGGTGTGGCAGAAGAAGCACGAGATTAGAATAAATTCAGTAGAAATGCGGTTGCTAAGGAGTATGTGCCGTGCAGTGGCAGTTGAGAATATCCACTATCCCATATCTTCGCGTGGGTGTCGTAAGAGGCGACAGAGGGAGACAGGCAGGAGATGGGCAGCAGCATCTTCCTAATAACAACAATAACGTAATAAAAAACTGCGATTGCCAACCCGCTAACCAAGCGTGGCAACTATGGCAAATATCCCCCCATGAGCAACGACGCAAATAAACGGCCCCCAGTCCCCGGCGGCCTCACTTTTCCTGGTTACGGTGGAGACCATGGTAACGGCGGGGCAGGGGGTGCTAAGAATCTCCGGTGGAGGTTCGGTTGCCACCTACGACGACTCGACCTGGCAACGTATAACGCACGCACTCTGAGGACTGACGAGAAGATACTGGAGCTGGAAGAAGAGGTAGACAAGTTGCGCTGGCATATTATTGGATTATCTGAGGTCCGAAGAGAGGGGGAGGACACGGTAATCCTCGAGTCCGGCAACTTGTTCTATCACCGGGAGGGCGACCATCTGTCCCAAGGAGGTGTCGGATTTATCGTCCACAAGTCTCTCGTCAACAACGTTGTAAAGATTGGGAGTGTGTCGACGAGGGTCGCGTACCTGATACTCAGAATCACCAAACGGTATTCGCTGAAGGTCATACAGGTCTACGCACCAACCACGGCACATCCCGATGAGGAGGTGGAGGAAATGTATGAGGATATTCCTAGAGCTATGCATTCCTCCAAAACCCACTACACGGTGTTGATTGGAGACATATAACATAAACACTCACGCCTGTCACCCAGAGGGGTAGGCAGAGACTTGGCTATGGACTTCTATTTGGCACGATCCTGACACATCTCTCTGGCCTCCTTCACATCCATACACCTACGCATGCATGCTCGTCGGTTAAGGGTACTCCTAATTTGGCCCGTTTTCAATAAATCACCAATTTGGTCGATAAATTTTCGCCTAGGACGTCCCTTTCCGACTCTGCCATTCACTTCTGCAACATAAATTTTCTTTGTCACTCTTTCCTCATCCATTCTTTCCACATGACCAAACCACCGAAGCATTCCTTTCTTAATCCTGGTCACAACATCATCTTGCAAACCACACTCTTCTCTTATCACACAATTTTTCACCCTGTCATTCAGATTCAGCCCTAACATACTCCTTAACGACCGCATTTCTACTGCATTTATTCTACTCTCGTGTTTCTTCTGCCATACCCAACTTTCACTACCATACGTTAAAGTAGGGACCAACACAGCATTGTGAATTGCCATACGTGCCTTTTTTGACACATTTTGATTCTTCACAATAGAGTGCAGGGCTCCATTTACTCTGTTTCCTGCGTTCACTCGTCGTTCTATATCCTTATCATATCTCCCATCCCTGCTAAATACGCAACCCAAATATACAAACTCATCTACTTGCTCGATCAACTCCCCTTCTATTCTTATTTCACATATCGTTTTACTTTCATCTCTTTCAAAAACCATAATTTTTGTCTTACTTGCGTTCACTTTCATACCACTTTCTTTTAATGATCTGTTCATTAATGTAACCATCATTTGCAACTCAGCCGCCGACGACGCAAGAATAACTTGATCATCGGCGTACAAAGGGCATTTGATGGTTAACTCACCCATTCTTAATCAGCATTCTTCAACTTTCAAATTTTGCAAACAACTGTCCATAAATAGGTTGAACAACCACGGGGAAGCCACACAGCACTGTCTGACACCTTTATGGATGCCAAACCAGTCCGAGTAGACCCCGTTGATCCTAACACAAGCACTAGAGTCCCTATAAAGAGATTCCAATGCCTGTATCAAGCCAGCGCTTTTGATGGGAGACTTCCACGCAAAACTAGGCACAAGAGAAGGCGGTGAGCTGAAGTTAGGGAAATTTGGAGTATGGCAACGGAGCCGTAAGGGCCAGCAGCTGGCTGACTTTATGGAGAAAGAGGGACTCTTTGTGATGAACTCTTTCTTCCAGAAGCGGCCCTACAGGAAGTGAACCTGGTCGAGCCCCGACGATTCGACAAAAAATGAGATTGACTTCATTATGACGACCCGATGCCAATGGTTCAGTGATGTCTCAGTGATCGCAAGGGTGAAAACCGGCAGCGATCACCGAATGGTTAGAGGCACAATGAACCTAAACGTTAAGTTGGAGAGCTCTCGTCTAATGAAGTCAACGCTCCGTCCCCCTCGTGCTCTAATCCAGAATCCCGAGACTTTTCAGCTCGAGTTACGTAACCGCTTTCAGTGCCTAGAAGATTGCAATGCAGTGGACGATATAAATGACAAGCTCGTGGAAACTGTCCATGCGGTCGGAGCTATGCTCGTTTACCTCATCTTCTATAAAATAAAAACAAAAGAAAAAATACGTGTGGCACTCGGTGACTGCCGCGGTAAAGCTATTGCATAGCATTTTTTATCAACTTATGCAATTATAATAATTTATTTATTTTATTTATGCAGTTAAGTCTTTGATATTAAATCAA